TGTTCCTTAAGTTTTCTGTACAGGAGACAGAAATCTAAGAATTGTGATGCATTCCCCCTTTTAATTCCTAATTGCTGCTACTTATGTTGTCCTACTATATTATTCAGTTTTCCCTGCAGTCAAAAATAAAAGAACTACTAAGGAAAAATGTACTGTGGAACAGTACAGATGGCTGAATTCCGTCTGTACTGGAGTTTGGTGTTTGTTGAAGCTTTTAGAATGGTAAAACTGACAGCTTCCTCTTTGCCCTTGTCCACAGATAGCCAAGTACATCTGTAGGTTCAAAAGCCACAGGGCGTATTAGACAAGATTTCTGAATTTCACTATTGCTTCTACCACTTGATCTCGCCCTTAGTCTAGAGAAAATACATAAAACATCAAACTTGTGCTTCTGGGTTTTTAATAAAGAGGTCAAGATTCAGTGGGTTTATTAGAACATGGTAAGTCTACCTTTGTCTGCATTCAGCCAACGTTTGTTTGAAACACCTCTTAGGGTCCAGGTAGTATGCTTCACTAGTGTTAAATGTTATGGAAAAAGAAAAGACAGTGGTAGTATCATAAAACTCCTCTGACATTTAACATCCTCTAATCAACAGAAAGATTATCCAGAACCTGCGTGTATGCATGTGTATGTGTGTTTTTGGACACGTGGTCCTGAGTACAGATTCTTTAGCGCCAGTGATATGACATTCTTTATGGTTTCATCTTAAAACTTTTCTTCCAGAAATAAGCCTATCAAGGACACATCTTCAAAATCTCTAGCTGCTGAGAGTGATAGCTAGAGGGAGGTTAGGAATTTACATAAAGCACTCACTATTACAGCTTCTACATACTCCTTCTTAGCTGGTGATTTGCCATGAAAATATTCTTGTGATAAGAACCTTGCCATTTCTGCATTCGGACTACTTCGATTTGCATACTGGTTTTGCCACCACATGACTGAAAAGAGGTTATTTATACTCTCCGGTCCTCAGTTACCTCATCTGTATAATGATGAGAAAAGTAATACATACATATCTCATATGGTGGTATAAGGATCATGAAGTGCATTCAAAATTGAATTATGTGTTTATGGTTCAGTCTTTCATTTTGCTACTAAAGTGGATTAAGATTAACTGATCATCTGCTTTGACCCTACTCCTAGACCCATGGAAGTCCAGCTCCTCTAGCCTCTGAGATAAACCAAATATACACAATGTACAGGCCCTTTATGAAGTGGAATCTTAATTGTGAACCTTTCTTTGTTTTCTAATTTTAAACCCCTTTGTAAGCATTTGATTTTTTTATTCTAGAGAATAATGAAAATTAATGACAAATTAAGCACGTTTCAGTTTGCTGGTGACATTATTGAAATAAACTTTGCTCCCTTAATTTTCTAACAGTAGGGTCTTGCCCATGCCTTTAAAGCATTAGATAATGTAAGGTAGGAAAAATTAATCAACTTAAAAAATAAAAGGTTTCCCTGAGTTTGCACAAAGTATTTCGCCTTGGGAATTAACATGATATAGGCCCTTATGCCATCTCTGAAATACAGCAAGTTTCTTAAACTATTCATCTGCTAATGGATCTTGTCTCTCTGGCTATGAGTTTTGGAGTGAAAGTAATTTTGAAATCTCAAGTAATGTGACAAGATTCTAATCATGGAATTCCAACCAATCTTAAAAAAAAAAAAAAGTTGTAATGTTATTCATGTTCTTGAGTCTGTATGTCAAAGTGGCAGTTTTAAGTACACTCACATACATGCAGAGAGGGAGAGAGAGAAGAGCCAGAAAATACATTTTTTCCCCAAAAATATAACTTAGCCATGAAATTATGAGACCTGAGATGCCTGTATGCTTGGACTCATTGTCTTCATTTCTTCACATCTTCTTGTTGCAAATGCCCTAAATACTTCAGCATTTGTGCACGCAAGTCCCTTAAAATAAGTACAAATAACTTTTTTCTTTGTATAATTATTAAATCTTTTGCTCCCCTGGCTAAGTTAAATGCTCCTGAAGAACAGGAAGTATGCCATCTATGTTTGTGGATCTTTCTGTGATATACAAAATACACGTTTGTTGTTAATTGACTAGAATATAAGGATAAAAAGAAAGGTAGCCGTACCAGAAAGTGTTTCTGATATTGAGGAAGGTATTCAGAATCAATGCATACATGGAATATAAATTGAGCCACAAGTGAAATAAATAGAAAGTATAGAGATCAGTTAATGGAGGAATGGGAGGGTGGGGGGCATGATAGGAGAGGGGAGAATAAAAATAACTGCCCTGAGAAAAGAAGGAGTCAAGGACTTTTTCAAAAATTACTCACAAAAACATCATAGTCAAAAAACAGTATGTAAACACATGCAAGGAAAGGGATGGTTTCATGTAGTCACATGATTGATTGAAAATGTTAAGCAAAACTATTTACATAACATGCTGCATTTGACAGTAGGGCAAGAGATCATTTGCTTATTTTGACCCCAAAATGAGTTTTAACATACTTACCTGATCTGGGTTCTGAAGATCACTTCTAAATGAGAAAAATTATGGGACCAAAAAAAAGGAAATAAAATTTTAATACTGCAGGTATTACTTGAGTGTGTTTATGAAGAGGATTTTGTGCAATGCATAAAATTTTGCTTTAAAATCATCAGGGCATTGCTTTATATTTTATTGTTCAGGAGTAAATATAATTCCTGAGAAAACCTCTAATTTTATTATTTAAATGATATAGCATATACGGTGGCTAAAACTGCCTGCTCCTAAGCCTACGTGTTGTGGCCGACAGTAACAAACACATCATTTTGATGAATCTTTCCTACACGTGAAAACAGTAAATGGAGTCATTTAAAACATATGGCAGTGTAAGTGAGCACATGAGACCTAAAGACTAACAATAATATAAATGTTAAGCAGAAGGAACAAAATACTAAATCCTTTCAATGGACTCTGAAAAAGAAGACTTTATGAACTTGAGGAAACAGCACTTAGACTTCCTTTTCAGAATGGCAAAGTGAAGGTGTTTCTGCCCTTGTCAAAAGTCTCATTACAAAAGTAAGGATATGAAGAAATAGAAAAACTGATTTACACATGTCAAAACCAGAAGATGTCTGTTACTCCAACTCACAGAACATTGGAAAATGGTAAAATGACTCGGAACAGAAAAGGTGAAAATCAAGGACCTGCCAATGGGATAGCGATAGCAATAGAATACCACTCACCCTGCAAAATTCTGGAAAGGCTTTTGCATTGGAGTAATTAGCTCAATTACTGTGGAAGGAGTGGTTGGATGGGTACACTGAAAGTGTCTGTAAGAAAGGGTTAAACCCTCAGCCCTCTTTCTCTATACCTGCCTCTTCCCCAGAACCCTGTGAAAGACATAAAGTATATGTTCTGGGGGAAATTACATCAGTGAGGCTCTGGATTGGATATGCCAACCAGAGAACAGCATCTCCCTGTTCAGGGAGATAGGAGATTTCAAATAGGAAAGTTAACTGAGAAAATAATGAACTCCTCCAGAGAAAAAAATACACAAAAATTAGCTGGGTGTGGTAGTGTGTGTCTGTAATCCCAGATCCTCGGAGGCTGAGGTCAGAGGATCCCTTGAGCCCAGGAGGTCAAGACTGCAGTGAGCTATGAATGTGCCTCTGCACTGCAGCCTGGACAACAGAGCAAGACCCTGTCTCAGAAAAAGAAAAAAGAAAATCTTAACATACTCATAATTGAAAGACTCCCCATTCTACAAAATGAGCCAGTTGACTACTTACAATTTCATTGTTTATCTTACAATTTTATTATTTAATTCTCAGAGTAAGTATTATTTGTGATATTTAATGCTATATGATGCACTGGTAACTAACAAACCCTGAAATCTTATGGCTAACACAATAGAGGTTATTGCGTGACTCATGTGAAGTCCACTATGGTGGGCAGCTCTCATCTTAATCTGGTAGTTATGCCTTCTGGAGCAAGTGGCCATCAGGGCCTTCATGGCAGAGGCTGGAATAGAAGGGGGAACACACAGGTTCAGCTGTCTCATTCCAGAAGTGAACACTCTCAGAGTCCATTGTTCAGAACCTTTCACAGGGGAGAAGTAGGGAAGCGTATGGAATATTGAGTGGCCACCAACTTCCCTGCAACTTTGTGCAAATTTATGTCCAGGTTCTTGAAGCCTTCACTTTCTTCCCATGCATCAGCCATAGGGTTTATTGTTTCTTTCATTGAACAGCTAAAATCTGTTTTAAATTTAAGAGCTAGCACCTGTTGCCTGCCTAAGATGTCTGGCATTGTGACAGGACTGAAAATACAGAGATGCCTGTAACATATGCAGTCTCTGGTCTGAAGGGTATTTTACCATTTACCCTTTTATTTCACATTTCCTTTGAAATAATGTTCAGATTATTTTCTCAATGTTCACAGGTGGGTGCAACAGTGATTAGCTCATTAAAGACTATATAATAAGTTATTGACTTATGATCAACAGGACGTTGTGTCCCTGTTGCAAATGTTTAATTTCAGATATTTCTCCCAAATCTTGAGAATCACAACTCTTTCCCTTTTAACCGAAATAATTGCTGAGAACTCTTTTCTTCTTTATAACGGCAACATTTGAGAATCTCTAATATGCTCCATAGATAAGTAACTGCAAATTCATCTATTTCTCAGTATTACCTTGTGGTTTATTTCTGATGTTCACTGAAGCAGGTTTGTAAATTAATATTAATATGAAATGCTCTATTGAAAGTTTCACAGCATATCAGTTGAAAGCAATTATCCAGGAAGAGTTTTTGTATCTGAGTCAGTCTTGCAAATGCATCTCATATACTTTTTGAAATGAAATAATTGATTTCAAAAGATACATTTATCTCGGAAATACTATTATATCTGTTCTTATTTGACTGTCTAAATCTACAGCTTGAACTGCTTCTTCCAGTGGTGCATCTGATCTTTAGTATGTGGATTCTGAGAGTATTAATCAATTTTTTATAATGTTTGGTTTCCTTATGTTTTCTATTTCAGAGTACCCGAGTGGCCTTGGACCATCTGGAGTCTGTGCCTGAGAAACTGAGCCTACTAGAAGATTTCAAAGACTTCAGAGTGAGAAAGAGTTGGCTTGTCTCTTTCAGTATTTTTATCTGAGTGAGAACACTTGACATCTTCCTGATGTGCAAAGAAAAGTATGGAGAAGGAAGAAGGATGAAAAAACATTGGGAACTTTTAACATACCATCTTATCAGAGTTTATTGACATTTGTGAAGTTAGAATTGAAAACAATGAAACATATATTAGCACAAGATCAGAAAATAGAGACTTTTACTGTACTACTAGAAGCTTAATTGGTCCCATAAAGCTTTAACAATAATTTAGAAAAGCCTAAGAATTAAAGGGAGTTACACATTATACTGTCAATAGACAACTTGTTCGATTAGCAATTTTAATTTGGGAATTATTTGGGTACTGCTTGTTTTAGAGATATGGTAGTTCACAGGTTACCTTTCTGTTATGACACATGAATTCAAATCCACATAAAGTTTCACATTTCATATTTCATGGCCATTTATTGATAGAACTCTAACCACAAAGCATTTCATTATCAAGCTAATTAGTTACATGTGTTAATTTACCTTGTGTGATTTTTTAAATTCCTCATAGAGGAGATATGCAAAACAAATATCTCTGCTGGCAGTCCTGCCAGACAAGATCTGATCCAGAGAACATCACATATACCCTAAGGGCTGCATATATAATGTAAAATTTTAATGATTTATCATTTATTGACCTCACATAGCTGAAACTAACAATGGGAGGATTTCTTTTCGGCAACTGTGTAATCATATTTCACATTGCCCTTAAAATATAACTCATGTTATATTTAGGCTCTGTTTAGATCTGACATATTATTCAAAGATACAGTGTACAGGAAAATAACCAGATCATGCCATATTGGTTGATTGGAAGCACTGATATGATGGGGTTCCCAAGGTCTTCATTATCTTAAAATTACCTTGCATTAAGCATCTTTTGCTAGTTCAGTAACATTTTTGAGAGAGATCCAGTTTAGCTGACACCTCTGGTAAGCTAGACCATCCCAAATTGAACAAAATCAAGTGTTTAAAATATATTTTCCTAAAGTTGTGATTCTTTCTCATGATTTGCTATATATTTGCAGTTTAAATAGCTATCAAAGAATTATGAAACCATGCCCAAAATAATGCAATTTCTCTTTACTCTTAAACAACCCGATGTGATAGCCGGCAATATGTTATGCCCGTAGTCTTTTCATTTTTTTTTCTCTTGTAACTAACAGAAATTCTCCAAGTAAATGAAGGGTAGACAACAGAAAGAATGGGAAGCAGGTGGCACTTGTCACTGAGAAATAGAAACCTGTCTTATACCACTATAAAAATATAGTTTAACCTCCAGAAACAGATTACTTTTCCCCAGTTGTCTACATTGAACAGAATGTTCATAAGTACAATTTAAAAATTGTATTCTCTACTATTACCAAAAGGCTAGTTATTATTATTTTTAATCCTATGAGCTAGTGATGGTCTATAAGTCTAGCTCATGTACATTTTTAGGGAGACTCTTTTTCAGAGTTCAGCATTGTATTTTCCAATATATTAAAATTGAAACCTTTAGCTTGAAAAGGAAAAGAGTTGATTAGCAAGTGTCATGCCCTCACTGCATAATACTTAGCAGGTGCTAAGTACTTTATGGTACATGTTTCCTAGTCTTCCAGATACCCTATAGATGGGTGTTATTTTTGCCCATTTTATAGATGAGGACACTGAAGCTTGGAGCCCATAAACTAGCTGGAGGTGGGATCTAATTCTGTGCAAAATAGCACAGCCCATCTGCTTCGCCCTGCTGCTTTTAGCTTAAAATCCATTCTACGTGGATTCTAAAGCTCTCTATGTGATTTAAAAGAGCTGATTTCAATCAACTTAATAAAAATGACTAGACATAGCCTTAAATGAAAATACATAAAGCCTTGAGATTATTAGATGTAGATTATATTTATTCAAACCCTTTAAACATTCAAAAAATCAGTGTGGTGTGAACAGGAATGCAAAGACCTAAGTTCTTGTCCAAATTCATGCACCAGACAAAAGTCACTTAATGTCTCAGGAGATATGACCACATTCATGTGAGGCACTTGAACAATATTATCTCTGGGTTCCTGTATACATATTTCTCGATAGTACCATAGCCTATGACTTAAGTGTGAGTACAGACCTCATCCTATTTAGATAGGCTTGACTTTATTCTTGTTTAAATGTGGTCACATTCATTTTGAAAGAATTGTTGGCCAGGCATGGTGGCTCGCACCGGTAATCCCAGCACTTTGGGAGGCCAAGGTGGGCGAACCACCTGAGGTCAGGAGTTCAACACCAGCATGGAGAAACTGTGTCTACTAAAAATACAAAATTAGCTGGGAGTGGTGGCACATGCCTGTAATCCCGGCTAATCGGGAGGCTGGGACAGGAGAGTCGCTTAAACCCGGGAGGCGGAGGTTGCATTGAGCTGAGATCATGCCATTGCACTCCAGCCTTGACAAGAGCGAAACTCCATCTCAAAAAAAAAAAAAAAAAATAGAATTGTTTCAGCTCTACAATTCCATATTTAAACTGTACATTTTTGATAAGGTAGAAAGGGAATAGCACTGGATTCCAAGCCTAATCTACCACAAATTGTCCAGCCCTGGGTAAATCATTCTTAACTTCCCTGAGCTCTAGTTTTTTAGAGGTTTTTGTGTTGTGCTGTTTTGTACTAAGGATGAGAACTTCGGAATTATAATACCCCTTCTAGCTTGAACATTCAATAAGTTTAAGGTTTCTTGGGACTTTGAGGGACAATAAATCCCATATATATATATTTTTTTTACAGGCCAAAATCAATTGTCCTCATTCTTTTTCTAATTTCTCCCTAAATAATAATAGAAATGTCTAAATAATTGTCTATAGTAACTGTTTGCTGTGTTCCTTCTTCCTGCAAGAAATGAAGAGAAAAAAGAAAAAAAGGCAAGCCCTGGAAATTTTTGTTTTCTTAATTTTTGTTATTACCTGAATCATTTTATGCTTTTAAAGGCAAGGGAGCTATCCTTAAGTTTAAAAATTTATGTGACATAATAGTTAAAAGATAGGATGTTATTTATGGATAAGTGAAGTAAAAGGGTTCTAGTTTTGCAGGTAACAATTTTTAAAAACAAGAATATATTGATGCCAAGTACCAATCCAAGGGATAGTACACAGCATCCAAATGTGGCATGTATCAACAGTGACATCTTTGGATAGCACATTGCTACTTGAACCCCTTGTTCTAAAGGGTATCAGTCACTATAGATTGGCATAGGGACTAGTTGTTTAAAAAATTCAGGTAACCATTGTGGGATGCATTGTATATTTTATGGGTTTATCCATAGTACCGATTTGTTTCTTTTTCTATTTCTTTTTTTTTTTTTTTTTTTTTTTATCTTTTTCTTTTTTTTTTTTTTTTTTTAAGACAGAGCCTCATTCTGTCATTCTGTCAGTCAGGCTGGAGTGCAGTAGCACAATTTCACTGCTACCTCTGCCACTTGGGCTCTAGTGATCCCCCCACCTGAGCCCCCTGAGTAGCTGGGACTACAGGCATGCACCACCACATCTAGCTAGTTTTTATATATTTTATAGAGGTGAGATTTCCCCACGTTGCTTAGGCTGATCTCAAACTCCTGCACTAGAGTGATCCTCCCAGCTCCACCTCCTAAAGTGCTGAGATTACAGGTGTGAGCCACTGCATGTAGCCTTCTTCTTTCTCTGTGATAGTCTATGATTCTTCTATATATCTATAAATTCTTGTAATTATTTATTATCATTTTTATCTATGTATAAACTCTTTCTTATTCTAATTTCAAGCACCAATTTTCTTTTATCTACCAGTTCAGACCCTTTGTTTTTTTTCCAGGATTCCTGCAGTTCATCTGAGAGAACTGATGGAAGATATTCTAAATACAGGGTTCGCAGAAATTCTCTTCAGCATCACCAAGATGACACCAAGTACAGAACCAAAAGTTTCAAAGTAACGTTCTTTATATACATTTTTAGTCTTTAAGTAGTATCCATGTTTAAGGCTACAACCTCTTAAGCAGCCTCTGCAGTATTTGTGTAAGGGCACTTGCGAAAGAATATATTTTCCTTGATATATTAAATAGATTTTTAATTCTGTGGAAATAGAGAATAAAAATCCAAAGTTTGTGCTTATCACATTTTGTCTGGGAACTAAACCTTAAGTCCAAGCCATCACTGCTTGATATGTTATTTGTTCATGAGAACTGGTGCTATTTAAGAAATCTGAGCCAAGAAACCCCTGGTCACATGATTGGGCAAAATCTTAGTGTGATGATCACCTTCTTCTAGGTGTAAGTCCGGCTGCTGTCCACACTGAAGTCTGCAGTAGGACAGATCATATAGCGTACTTTGGAATTCTAATCATTTTCTTCTCGAGGATATGAACTCCCTATTAATACTTCAGCTTTTGGTTTATTACCATGGAGCCAGCACAGTATACTGGGAAGATTTAACCATATTAACGAAATGTATGCATTCTCTAGAGCCTACCCAGTATCCATCTGGGATATGGGTGATTTAAATTCACTTGACCTTGAGCAGCTCTTAGTTCAGAGCAGGGTTTCTCAACCTTGGCATTATTGATATTTGAAGCCATATAATTCCTTGTTGTAGAGGCAGTCTTAGGCATTGCAGTATATTTAGTTGCATCCCGAAAATGTACTCACTAGATGCCAGTAACATCTCCCATCTCAAGTTATAACATCCAAAATCATCTCCTGACATTGCCAAATGTCCCCTGGAGGGCAAAGATGCCCCCTGTTGAGCATGCTGACCCAGAGAGAATCCATGTATATTCAAATGTGCACTCCATGTCAATTAAAGAAAAAACTAAAGGTTTTCTGGCTTTTCTATATTCTTACAAACTTGAATATGTGTGAATATTCATTACACTGTATATATTCACTTATTACAGTGAAATATAATTATTTCTAAGAAGCGTCTTTCTGAATGTAATTGGATAATATGCTCAGTGGATAGAAAGACAGTGTTCATTTCCATATGTCATTCTTAGCATGTTTAAAATGGACACTATACTTCCTCCCTTCCAAATAAAAATTAACGCAATTAGGACAGGTTATTGATGTACTTAGTATGAAGAGAGCATCCTGTGATGTTGTTCCTTTTTACTTTTTCTTTTAAATAGATTGGCATATTCACTGTAGTAGTGACCTTGTCTCTTACGGCAATTTTTAAGTTCCCTAAATCATCTTCCAACATTCCCAGTCAGGTCCCATCAACTCAAGCATTTCTGTACATTTTAAAGGAGTGCTGCTAACCAATGACAGAAATAGTAAGTTTAGGCTACGAGAGCTAATGATTATTGAGCATATTTTAGAACAAACCACAAGACATTTCTCTTTTTGTGGGTGTTACAAGCCTTATATACATTATCATATTTAATATTCACAGCAATTCTCTCAGGTAGGCATGATTATTTTTTCTCTTTTACCATTGAAAGAACCAAGGTTTTAGAGTAATTAAATGGTTGAATTGGGATTAAAACTTAATCTGCCTGACTTTAGTAATTTACGTCATTGACCACTGTGCTGTTATAGTGCAAATTTAGACCTCGTATACCTAATTTTTTCTAGAAGTCACCAAATACAGGAATATATTTTCAATATGCAAAAATCAGTGTTCTCCAAAAATACATAAACATAATACATGCTCGTAGTTCAACAGAGGTCTAGATGCAAATGAAACATTTAAAACATTATTTCCCAGTACACTTAGAGTTGGTATCAGGTGAATTAGTGCTATCTAGTGACACCCAAATTGCTATAAATCCATGCAGTTTCCATAACAGCATATGGCCAAGCTATGAATGTTTAACATGTTCAGCAAGTAATCTCATTGGAGTTCTGTTTAAAATTACATTTGCAGCTGAAGAGGGAATCCGGCCTAGTTCATAAGAGAGGCCAACACTTAGCAAAATGAAAAATAAGTTTGAAAATTTTGCAAATAGATAGAGCAAGTATAGGATAGATGTGCAGAACACATTTTATGACGGCATTGTTCCACATTGATACTACTTAAATATTTTGAAACTGATATATTTTGGCAATGAATATATAGACTATCACCATATGTCACAGATTCCTGGCCTGAAATATTGTAGTCATTTAACATAAAACTCACAGGAATATAACATTCTTGGTAGTCACTGGAGAGGAAAATATAGGAACTCATTTCTGCCAATTGTAGATACCCATGGTCATTTTCTCATTTTCCTTTCATGAAAATAAGTGTTTTAAAAAGATTGAGAAAGGGGGCAGCTTTAAAAGAACAGTGAACTTAAATGAGTAATGAGAAAGTTGTTTTCGTCATTTCTTGTCTTGTGGATACTCAGAAGAGCCATCTCTGAAAAATCACTGATATCCTGAAAAAATGCTTCAAGTAAGAGAAATATGAACTCAAGAGACCATGTGTTCCTTACTCCAACAGTTTCAGAAGACATTGTTTCGACAGCTATTAACTTTCCTTTCATTTGCTAAGACAGAATTCAAGGAAAAGGCAAATGACAGGGACTTGAGTTCACTGGTTCTACTGAAAACTACAGTTCCAGGAAATCAGTGTATGGCTCAGTTTAATGCAACAAACATATACTGTACAGGTACCATATTGCAAAACACAGTACCTGTGGGTGGAAAGCATGGTCTTAAAAGAATAGTTACCTAGTCATCTTAATTCTAACAGATAATTAGTGTTCATTTATTCACATATTGTCTTTGGTTGCTTTTGCACTGGACAGTAGACTTGAATGGTTGCTACAGAAACCATATGGCCCTCAAAAACTAAAGTATTTACTGTCTGGCCTTCTATAGAAAAAGTTTGCCAACCTCTGGTCTAGAGGATGAAGAAATTACTTATCTGCTTCTTCCTTTAAACATTATATGACATATTTCCTTTTCTGTATTTATCAGTCAAAGAGATACTCTCCAAGCTCTTTGGAAAGTCATAATACTTATGCATTGAACAAATATTTATTGAGTGTCAGCTGTGTGCCAGGAACTTTCTAGGTGCATGGGATTCATATCAGTGAACAAAATGAAACAAATCTCTGCCCTTTTGTTGTAATTGGAATAGATTCATGTTTTTGTTGTTGTTTTTCTAAACACAGCATTCATCACACATTTATTGGATTTCTAATGCAAACCAAGGCACTGTGCTAGGAGCTCAAGAGAATGGCATAATAAGAAAAAACATTTCCAACCCTTAGGAACCCTTCATAAACATAACTGTAGTACAGAAGAGAAAAGGGCTAAGTGCTTTAAAGGTGGCCCCAATAAACCACATTGGGGCTTCAGAGGAAAGAAAGATGCTCAAGTATCTTTTGAAAAGAGATTTATGATGACAAGCCACAAGAAAACATTTATCCACATCTCAGTTTGGGAGAGAATCACTATTAGAATTTCAGTTGTAGATTCTATTACTGTTGACAGACAAATCACTGTTGGAATAGCAGACCATGTTGGCAACTGGTTTCTCTTATGTTGTTGCTGTTGTAAGAAGGCACTGACACATCCAGCATGACCACACTGCTGGTGTTGGGAAGGGTTAGCAGGAAGTGGGCAAGGTGGGTTCTCTGTCAATCAGTCCAAGGCTAGAGCCATCTCCTCTGTTTATTCTTGTGGCAATCACCAGGACAGAAAATGAACAGCTTTCTAGAAACCTGTCAAGATTTTGAGCAGGACCAACATCCACAATTATGAGAGCATAATATCATATTTCCTTAAGTTCACCAAGCTAACTGGACAAAGCCTGATCTAAAAGCTTATATTTATAAATCATTTCAAAGCTAAATCTAAGACATTTTCTCTGTCTTGGTAGACAAGAGAAGCATTTCATGGCCTCTCTTTCATCAAGCCTAATTGGATTTCTGTAGGACGTACAGGCTTCCTTCCTGTCTCAGCTATTTCAAATAGAACAGAATGTTCAAAAGTCAGTCAGTAACACAGCATTGCTAATTTGAATTCACAGAGGAGCATGATTTTGTCCAAGACATCTCCATGTATTACCTTTACCCATACTAAATATATGGTTTTAATTAACATTGGAATTTTTTTGTAAAATTGCAGAAGGCATGTTTATTCCCCATCCTTCCTCCCCTTGAAAGAAAAGTCATGATTTTTAACTTCTAGTTGAAGAGTTAGTATGCAGTTTCCTTTTAAACAAACAGATGTTTTACGGGATAAGATGAGGTAGGCGAGGAAGCATTAATAATGGCTTTCAGTAGAGTCTACAGAAGCAGAGTTTGCCAAAGCCCTGTCATATTTGCTCAATGTAAGCATGTGCGTGATATAAATACATGTTTTGTTCCTGGAACTCATTTCTCCCTCATTGAATCTTTGTGATTTGTTTATACCTTGCTCACAGCAGTTAATGGCTGTTAGCACTTCTCTCTCAAGTCAGCTATTTCTGTACATATCTTAAATCTTCTATAACAGTAGCTTCTAAAGCATGCTATGTATAATTCCTGGTACAATTCAAGATGATAGGTGATGCATAAACATTTTAATGACTATAAAAATATGTTACTAATGAGTTACGTTAATTTTTACGGATATTGTTTAGGAATAGTAGTGGCAACCATGGGGGAATTTGAGAGAGCTTTAACCCTATACTACTCCAGTTATCTCATTTATAACTACTCCATGCTTTGATAAGAAATCATATGTTAGCTGATATGCCAATACAGCTCTGTGCTTCTCTCTATCCTTTAAGCCTCCCCTATACAGAGATTGAGAATGCCAGGTGAATGTAAAAGTAAACAGTAGTAAAATTATAGGTGAACAATGACATTTGAGAAATGCTCTTCTACTAGATTGTACGGGCTTCTGAAGGCAAGCACTGCCTTGACTCCAAAATATACAGTGAGGATATAATACATGTTAAATTGGTGATTTTAAAAACTTTAAAAAAATTGTTTTCTAGTTTCAGCCTTTCTAA